CTATGCTAGGTGCTGAAGAACCAGCAGAAAACAAGAGAGATAAAGACCTGTCCTCATGAACAGGCAGATTAATGGGAAGACAGTGAGAGAAAGGAAGGAAGAAAAGAGGAAAGGGAAAGAAAGGGAAAGAGAAGAAAAAAAGAAAGGGAGAGAGGGAAGGAAGGAAGGAAAAGAAAGGAAAGGGAAAGAAAGAAAAAAGAAAAGAAAGAAAGGCAGAGAGAGGGGAAGGAAGGGAGGAAGGAAGGGAGGAATGAATGAAGGAAGGAAGGAAGGAAGGAAAGAAGAAGGAAAGAAGGAAGGAAAAAATTGAGGAACCTAGAGGGACACCCCAGCAGCAGTGAGCACACCCAGCACCCAGATCTTGGTTTCTAAACACCATCCTCCAAAAAAAAAAAAAAAGAAGAACCAGGATTCCTTGAAGAAATGGTGGATTCCAGAGCAATGAGCCTAGAAGGTCTTTCAGTACCAGAAAATAAGGAAATGCTCACAAAAATGACAAGGTCATGTAGAAAGTTACATAAGAGCTAAGTTGAATGATCACCTAAAGACCAAGTCAGGGACAATTCAGCAACAAAACGAATAGATGATAGCAATGGGTCGTAACTTATAAAATATATATATCTGGGTTCATACTAATGCAAATAACAATTAAACAAAGAGATGCGTGGGAGAAAAGAAAGTGCTTCCTTACAGCACAATTCCAATCAGTACATTCAGAAAAGATGATGGAACTCAGGAACGCCCATTTGGAAAACACTGCAGGAATAATTGTTGTAGGCAAGAATCATCAATGGTCATCAACAGATGCTAAAATTAGTGGGGGGAACGTATAATGAGAAACAAGCCATTTACATTATCTAAGTCTATCCCCATAAGATAATTATTAATTACAAAGAGAAATGTAGTAATTTAACAGTGTGGAGAAACATAGCAGACACCTCCTAAAGCAACTAACCAAGTGAACATCACCAGTATTGGGACAAAGTGAGACCATGTGCTTCCTGAGATGTTGTCCTGAGAGTCACACATCACCTCTATGACATTCTTACCAAAACTGCAAAAGCTGACTTGAATCATAAAGAAACATCAGACAAGCCCAAGTTGAGAAACACACTACGAAGTACGGGCCAGAGGTCTTCAAAAGGCGTCAAGGTTGTGAAAGACAAAGACCAAGGAAGTTCTTGGTTAAAGGAGACTAGAGACGTGAAAAATAAATGGGATGTGTGATCCTGAACTGGATCCTACACCAAAGAGGAGAAAGTCATGGGGGAGTTGGTGAAACCTGTCTAGGGCTTGTAGATTACTTAGTAACACCTTACCAATGTCAATGTCCTAGTCTTGATCAAGTACCATGTCTGTGGGTGATAGTGACGTTTGGGGAACTGGATGAAGTTTGCTAGAACTTTCTATTACTTTTGCAACATTTTCCTAAGTCTGAAATTATTTCAAATGGAAAAGTCAAAAAATAAAAGTACATAAAAGACAGAAAGCAAAAAAATAATTGTCAGCTGCAATGAGTGCCACACAGAACAAAAAGGGAGCAGAAAATAGCAGAAGGGAGTGTCCGATGTCAACTTGCTGGGAGCTGCCATTTATCCTCAGACCTCCGGGCAGAGGGAGAACACAGCACTAAGCAGAGGAACAGTGCTCTGCCCAAGGAACAGCATGAACAACAGCCCTGAGGCAGGAAAGTTTCATCCCTGTCCTTCTCTAGGAACACCCCATAAAGAAATATGATGGGATATGTTGGATGACACTGGAAAGACAGGAAAGAAGTCCATGTGTCGATGGAGGCAGAACCCGGAGCAATGCACCTCCAAGCCAAGGAAGGGCTGGAGCCATCAGAAGCCAGAAGATACCAGAACAATCCTCCCCTACAGCCTCAGAAGAGCATGGCCCTGCCCACACCTTGGTTTCAGACCTCCGGTCTGCCAGCTCTGACAGCATGAGGTTGTGTTGTTTCAGTCACCCCACTTGTGGTCTTTTGAAAGAGCTGCTCTAGGACACACAGCCACTGCCCTTCTGCATGGTTGGGGTGCAGTGATGAGTGAACCTCACGCCCGTCCCCCCTCGTTCTGTGTGCCCCTCGGGCTATAGACGAGTCACTTATGCATTTACTCATTAGGGATTATTCACGTAAAGCATTCTTTAATATTTTCAAATCAAGCACAGACCAAGCCCCTTTTAAAATTCAGTCTTGTCCTCAGCAATGTGGACCGTGCAGCCCAAGTTTGCTGTGGGAACTGTGGCTGCTTTTTAAGACCCTCTGAAATCAGTGCAAAACCAGCCGGCTGAGTGCTCGCTGCCGCCCCCGAATCACCGGGCTCACCTCCTGGGACCCCAGCACCAGCCAATTAGGATAGGAGATGCGACTGCTTTTCTGTTGCTTTTTGTCCCCAAAAGAATGACCTCCAAAGAGCCAATGTTTTACTGCCTATGCACCCCGTGTCTCTTCCCCACCTCCTCCCCTTTGCACTCGGCCCCATATTTGTCGTGATCTTTGAAGAAAACACGCATCGTGGAGCGGGCTGTGAATCTCTCTGAGCCTGCATTTTCATCTCTAAAATGAGGATCACCACATCCACCGAACAGACGTGCTCCAAAGGCTGGATATGAGAAGAGCACCTATTTGTAACACCATTTCTAGGAAAAACCCAGAACAGGCCCATCCACAGGGACAGAAAGCAGATTAGCGGTTGCTGGGGTTTGAGAGGAGAGAATGGAGAGTGACCACTGATGCGTACAGAGCCTCCTTTTGGGGTGATAAGAACATTCTGGAACCAGACAGTGCTAACAGCTGCACGGCCTGGGGAATGGCCTACATGCTACTGAATTTTAACTCGTAGGCTTTACAGGGGTTAAAATGATGAGTTGTACGTTGGGTTTATTTCGCCAAAATTTATTTTTTAATTGGATAAGAAGCGTCCGTCTGGGGTAAGTGACACCAGCCAAGTATCTCCACTCTCTGAACCTGTTTCCTCATCTGCAGAATGGGGGCATGGACAGAACCTATGCCCTGGGTAGTAGTGAGACCACGCCAGCTGGTCCACAGACATGATGGGCACGTGGAAGGCACAGACAGGCCGCTCCCTCTGGGATTGCTACGAGGACTCAGCAGCCGCTGATCTGGAGATGGTCTCCGCTGGGTGTCTGCGCTCAGTCGAGAAAATCAAGCATTTTCCCCCTTAAGATCCCAGGCAGGCTCCCTACGGTGCGGGCCTGTGTGGGCTGTCTCTGGCATCCTGACTCACGGTAACACATAAAGGTTGGAGCAGATCATATTTTAAACCCCAGAAGCTCGCTCTGAGCAGTTGGGCGCTCTGGATGTAATTCTGCAGGTAATTTGAACGAGGCTATCTAATTTCAAATGTCCCTGCTCTTACGAGTGCAAAAGCAGCATAATTTTTAATTAGTGGGTAAACAGTAAATAATGGATGGCGGTAAGTGGACACCGCTGTTAATTAAAAATCCATGGTTGATAAAAATCAATTTGGCCCATGCATTGAACTCAGTCTAACAGGTCCCTGTGAAAAGTTGTGCAATTGGCCTGCGGTACCATCTGCTTTCAGATGTTCCTTTAGCTGAGACTGTTTGGGGCAGGGTGGGGGGGCAAACAGAGGGGGGGCAGGAAAAGGGGAGAGAAAGAAAAAAATAAAAAAGCTACTTCAAAAGCTACAACAGAACAACTTGCCCAGGTTCATTTGTAACTGGTTAATTTAATTTTTGCAACCTTTAAATTGAAGCTCTGCAAACGGCCAAGAGGCCGAGGCCGGCTCTGCTCTGGTCCTTCCACAAAGGCCTCCAGTTGTGTTTTGCATTTTGTGTGTCTGTTGTGGATACAGCGAGATTTTGTGTCGTCTCCTGACTTCATTAAATCCTAATTTCTCACTGAAAAACAAGACAGACTAAAACACCCTCCGCAGGAACATGCCGTCTGAGAATTCACAGCAAAAAAGCAACATCTAGGGCCTTCTCAGTGCTTCAGGGAGTACAGGGGGAAAAGGCCTGTTTTGCTTTCAACAGAAAACATTTCCTCAAGAAACAGAGCTTTGTGGAAACAATGTCAATATAATTTTCAGGGCCCGTTTGCTCTTTTTTTCTGAGATACAAGCTCGATCTTCCAACCAGGCAATTAACACTGACCCCTTTGGTCCTTTTCTTCCCTCTGCTTCTCCGAATCAACATTCCCCAAATCAAAACATTCGGATAGATTTCCTTGACAGTGATGGTGTTAACGTGAACCCGCAGACTGAATCCAGGGGACCCGGTGTCTCCCGAGAAGGGGCTTGCAGGAGCACAAGAAGGTTGGAGAAGCTGACTCGGAGGCGGCCCTGGCTCGGGTTCCCTGACAGGGCCATGCTGGCCATCTGGCCCGATTTCAGTGCCTGCCCACATGCCACAAGGTCCTGCTTCTGGTCCTCAAGAAGTGAGATGTGCCCAAGATACTGCGGAACTACCCACAAGCTCCTTTCTCAAGACTCCCCTTGCCACGTGCTCCCCGTGAGCTCCCCGCAGAGTGGCCATGTGTCGTCTGGGGCCAGGTCAGCCCCAGCTGACTGGCCGGTGGTTTTCGTTTCTCCTATTTGGCTGGTTAAAACCAGGGAGGACACAGCAGGAATACAGCAAGGGCCCTGAGCTGCACCAGCAGGTCTGCCTGCTCATCCATTCATCCATTCATCCATTCATTCAGCAAATTCATCCCCCCCAAGTCTTGAAAAAAGCCCCGTCCCCCTGGCTGTGATGGAAGACGGCCAACGGTGGAACCATCAGGCCGGTCTGACCATCTGAGCTTTGTCCTTTGTCACATCTGAGCAGCATCTGGGTTCCCCCAGGCTGTCTCTCTGCCCCAGAAAGGAAGTGAACGCTCACGGCCGTCTCCGAGGGTCGTCGCGAAGGTCAGGCGGCCACTAAAACCCGTGGGATGGATACACGGTTTACAGAACCAGTGGCTGCCGTCACTGCTGTGGCAGGTCCCACCTGCGCTTTCTCTGTGTCTGTAGGTCTCTGGGGACCCCACGAGTCTCCAGAGGAGCCTCTGGGCCTCCAGGAGGCGAGGGATCTACTCTGCCTCATTTTCTGGAGAAGCTGTCCGGGGCCACCCGCCCCATCAGACAGCTGCTGAGGGACAGTGTGGGGACCTCAGGCCTCCCCAGGCCTTCTCTGGTGGTACCGGGAAGCTGCAGTGTGTGGTGGAGAAGGGGGCAGAGTGTACCTTTCACGTGCTTCTCATGCAGCCCACAAGCCTTCCTGGGCGCCCCCCGGGCCCCTCTGGGCCTGTGTCCCCAAGCCGGCCCCCGAGCACTTGGCCCGCAGGCTCGGCGGGAGGAAGTGTCTTTGGCAGGCCTGCTGCAGGGGCGGCCAGCGGGTCGAGGCGGCCCCTCAGCACAGCCTGTTGCTGTAATATTCGGACCTCGCTGGCCGCCAGGCTTCCCACACATCCCGCCATCTGGGCTCTGTCAAGCCCAGCGCTCTGAGTGGAGATGACGGTTTCTGGGGAAATCGCTGCTCTTTAGCAGCTGAAGGCCCTGGTGCTCTCGCCTTGGGACATCATGTAGAAGAGACTGGGCGCACTCCCAAGGCCACACCTGGCTTGTCTCCATAAGATGAGCACATGTGGGGTCACTCAGGAGGGTGTGAGGCCCCGGCTGCTCACGGCCGTCCTCCCTGAGCCTCCGATTCCTCCCTGGCCACCCCGCCAGCTGCACCCATCAGCCCCCCTACCCGCCGCACGCTTCCCGGGTACCTGCTAAGGGCCAGGTGTGGGCCTGGGGCCCGTGGTGCTCAGGCGGGCAGTACACGGGCCTGGCACCAAGGAGGGACCATTCCACGAGCGGCCTCCAGAGGCTGGCGGCAGTTCTGGTCTGTTCCACGGGGCAGAGGTCAAGGAGAACCTGGGCTCTTCGGGGCGGGGGGCGGGGGGAGAAGTCCCACTGCCCAGCACCTTGGGCTGAGTCTAGAGGGCCCCTTGTCCTGGAGTGTGGAGTCCTTCAGTCACCACGTGCCGGTGCCTGGCTGCACAGCAGCTCAGGAGCCTGGGGTCGTGCCCCTCCAAGGTGGAGACGCAGGTGACAACTCCAGGCGCTGACCCAGGCACCCTGACTCAGGTGTGGCTGAGGCAGAGCTGGATGCCCCCGGGCAGGGCCACGGTGCAGGTGGCGGCAGACCCCGGCTGGCCTCTGACCCCGCTGTGGCCCAGGATGGCTCGGGAGGGCAGGCAGAGTTTCTGGAGCGCGTCAGGACCCCTAACTCCTGTCTGTCTGCTTTGCAGCCCGCACCACAGAGGCGACTGGGACCGCCGGGGGTAGCCGTCTACACCAGGAACCCCGCTGCCAACAGCCCGCGCCCAGCAGAGCCCCCGTCACTGTGCTGCTGCCCCCACGCCTCGACGGGCCCTGGGTCTCTACCGGGTAAGACCCTGAGGTCGCCCTGATCACAGGCCCCCAGGCAGGGAGACTGCACCCCCTCTGGGCTTCAGTGTCTACACGACCCGATTCAACCAGTTGTCCAAGAGGCCTGCTACCGGCCAAACGTGTGGCTCTGCTGACCCCCCTCCATAGCACGAGCCTGGTGGGCAGAACGTGTCCCAGCCGAATGCGGCCATGGATGAAATCCATGTGTGTGACATACTGAGCACCCAGGCTGCAGTACTTACTGAGTGCCCACTAGGGACGGGGGAGCCACTGTGGGGACAGGCAGCAGACATGTGGACCCAGAAGTAAGTGTGGTGAACCTGAGATGGTGCTAAGCTCTGCCACGAAGGACATGGAGCCACGGATGTGAGAACCAGCAACCCGGGCGGGGGGCGCTTCTCAGAGGTGGCAATGTTCCGCTGAGAGCTAAAAGAAGAATTAGCCATCCAGAGGCCCAGGGGAGGTGGCCAGGCAGAGGGAGAAGCTGGCGCAAAGGTCCTGAGACAGGACGAGGCAGAGGAGAGGGTGGAGAGGGCCCAGCCATCCTGCTTGTCTGTTGAATTTTCTTCCTAACCGGACAGGCTTGCCTGACATTTCAGAGGCCCTGTTCACTGCTCTGGGCAGTGGGATTTGTGCTCTGACCCTCATCCTTGGGGCACAGATGCTACAGCAGCTGTCTAAGTCCTCCCTCCTGGGAGAGGGAGAAGGGCGGCCGTGGCCTCCTCCACACCTAGTACATCCTTTCCTCCCCCGCCATCCCCTTGGGGCCAGTCCTGTTCTGCAGTCAGGCACTGGCCTCTCCACGTCCTCCATGTACCTCCTGGGGTCAGGGAGAAACTCAACTGCCAAACATCTGTTAGCACTCTGGGTGGAGGGAGGGGACGAGAGCACTACTAAGCCACTTTGGATGCGTTCCCAGGCTCTGTCCCCATCCTGACTCCACAGTCCAGGTGAGATCCAGGCGCCACCGGTGTGGGTCACCCCAAGACAGAACTGGGCTGTGGGGAAGGTCAGAACTGGGTGCAGGCTCCTTCTGCCCTGAGACAACAGCGTTCCAGGACAGTTCTTCTAGAAACTTCTAGAACTGTCTTCCTAGAAAGTTCCTCCTCATGTTCTCCAGACAGGCTTTGCTGCTTCCTGGAGGCAATGCAGGGAATGATCTAGAGTCTGGGGCCCACTGAGGTTGTTCACTGTGACCTGCTGCCTCCCGTAGGCAAATCTCTTGCCCCCGGCCCTGTCCGAGACACAGGTGAGGACAGGACTATGGCTCCCGGCTCATGTGTGTGAGTCGCCTCCCTCCGTCTTCAACGACCTCCTGTACTGGCAATTCTTTACCATTTTTCTTTACACCAGCTTGCTTTTGTTTACCTAAATATATTCATTTATTTTTCCAGCTTTATTGAGGCATAATTGGTAAACAGTAAACTGTACACATTTACAGCGTACTGCAATTACTTTTAAAGGAAGCGTAGTATCATCCCGCAGAGGGAGGGCAGAGCCTCCTGCCATAAATAGGAGGTAACTGTAAAAAAGAAAGTCAATGAAAACGAAACAACATAATTAGATTCTCACTAGATTCGTTACCTGCCTTGGGTCCTGAGTCCGTTTTCTCGGGAAGAGAAGGGAGGTTGGTGTTACAGACACGTTAGCTCCAACAGAGACTTTCTCCTTAACATAATCAGAAAGATTGGAAGAAAAGAAAAGGAACTGTTTTCGTGCTGGGTAAGAACATGTTTCTTTTGCTCCATCCATCTTGCTATGAAAACTACTATGAGAGTTCACAGCAGTGTGTAAAGGGGGCCTTGTCCGCTGTTTCCCCCTAGAACTCACCCAGCCGCCCCCCTGTCTGCGCCCTCAATGCAGTCTCAGAGGCTACCCTGCCCCCAAACCCGGCTGCGGCCGTGGATCTAGGAGTCATTCAGCTTCCCTTTGTGCCCAACCCCACGTGCTTGCTTTACCACCAGCAGAAGCGATCCTGGGGGCCAAGTCTGGCCCACTGCCTGTTTTGTAAATAAAGTTTTATTGGCACACAGCTATGCCCCACCTTACCCCATTTACTTATTGTCTCTGGCTGCTTTAGCGCTAGAGACCAGGTCGCGCACCCAAACAGAAATACTTATTACCTGACCCTTTACAGAAAAAGTTTGGTGATCCCTGGTTTAGATCAATAAACCTGTCACAGGCACGAATGGAACTTGGTCAGGGAAGTCAACTGAGCGAAGGGGAGACTGGAAGTGACTGCGCATCAGCCACGATTCCCTCCATGAGGCCCTGGGGAGGGTCTGCTGTGTGCCAGGCTCTGAGCCAGGGGCCGAGGATCCACTGGGGCAAGAAGGAGGCCACTGCCTCCTGGGGCTCATGGCATGGGGCCCCCCAAATGATGCAAAAGAGCCTGTTTCCTAAGCACCTCTCGGGCACCACCACCATTCTTCACGTTTCCTAGAGACCCTGACTGTGGGTCTGACGCCTCCGTGTCACAGAGGAAGGAGCTGGGCATTATCCACAGCCGCTGAGGGACAGGAATGGGATTTGAACCTGGGTCCTCTGGCTGCAGAGTCTGCATACTTCTTGGGCCACGAGGTATCCACAGGTATGAGGACCCATGCCGTGAGGGCGGGTGATGGCTAAAGGAGGCAGTTAGGATCGGAGGAAGCAGAAGAACGCTTTTGTGGAGGCCACAAGGCAAGTGAAAGGCACTCGGCCTCTAAGGGGGTGGGTGAGACCAATTAGGGAAACCGAGGCTTATCAGGGTCCAGCTCTGGACTGAGGTCTGAAATAGAGGCTGTGGGAGCAGGGTCCAGCCTGGAAGGAGAGGGGCTCACCATGCAGGCTCTCCCTGCTCTGCCCAACCTCTCTCTCTCTCTCTCTCTATCTCTCTCTCTCTGACAGCTGTGAGGTGCGCCCGGGACCCGAGTTCCTCACCCGCTCCTACACCTTCTACCCTAACCGCCTCTTCCGAGCCTACCAGTTCTACTACAGGGACCCTTTCTGCCGGGAGCCTGCCCACTCCCTGCTCATCAAGGGCAAAGTCCGCCTGCGCCGGGCCTCCTGGGTCACCCGAGGGGCCACCGAGGCCGATTACCACCTGCACAAGGTGGGCATCGTCTTTCACAGCCGCCACAGCCTGCTCGATGTCACCAGGAGTCTCAACCAGACCCGGGTGGGCCAGGACTGTGCCCGGCGGCTGCCCCCAGCCCGGGCCTGGCTGCCCGGGGCCCTGTATGAGCTGCTGAGCGCCCGGGCCAAGCAGGACTGCATGGAAGCCCTGGGCTTCACCATGCACGAGCTCAGCCTGGTCCGCATGCTACGGCACGTGCAACCGCAGCCTCGGGCTGGGCCCCGGCTGGTGGAGGAGCTCTACCTGGGGGACATCCACACCGACCGAGGGGAGAGGTGGCACTACCGGCCCACGGGCTACCAGCGCCCGCTGCAGAGTGCCCTGGTGAGTCTGGGGCCCTGGGAGGGTGAGCTCTGGGCCCCAACCCAGCGGGCCCTCTACGGTCTGGTCCCTGCCTCAGACCCTCTCTGTACCCCCTTGCTGGCCTGCTGGCCTCAAGGCATTTGCACATGCTGTTCCCTCTGCTTGAGATAGGTCTATACAGGGCTGGCTTTTTCCAAAGGAACCGCTGCTCAGCTTGTCTGTGCCTGGTCCTCCTGACATCCTTCTTGTGGTCCCCACAGGGTCCTCTTCTGCTCGTGCTGGGCACTTGGGCAGGTGTGTCTCAGTTCTCAGATCAGCTGTTCCCGCCAATCCCTACTCTGCACATTTTCCAGCACTCAGCTTCCCGGGCTGCATGGTTTGTTCACTTGTTAATTGCCACCTTCTCTAGCAGTAGACTCTGCACGGGTGGGGCCCTGTCCTCTCCTGGGTCCCTACACACGGCCCAGGGTCTGGCACACAGTGGGGGCCAATAAAGCTTAGTGAATGAATGCAGGAGAGGTCAGTCCTCCTCCAGGGCTCTGCTGGACAGCCACAGAACCCAGAGAAGGTGACTCCAAGAGCCCCGCGTGCACCTCTTTGGTGTCTGGAGCCAGAGATGCTGAGTGTACCCATTCACACTAATGCTGGGTAAAGCAGCACTCCTCGGCCCCTGTTCTCAAGATGCCATCACCTGGGCATCTTCTGAGAATGCAGAGTCAGGTCCTGGGGGGGGTTCTGGGGTGGGACCTGGGACTCTGCATTTCCAAAAGGCTCCCAGATGGCCCACGGACTGCCCTCTGGGTAGGAGGCTGCCCTGTGAAGGGAGATGTACTTCCCCCAACCCAGCTCCAATGTGAATTTCACTCGAGGTCCTTAACCTAGATTTTAAATTAAGTGATCACAGCACACTGCCCCCATTTGGGGGAGACCTGGTAGCCCTTCTCTGCCTGATGAGCACACAGGCAGAAAGAATCTGCTCTTCACGTGTGTGAGATGTACTCTGGGCACGTGGCATAGAGCCTGGCCCTCGAGGCGTGGAGGCTCAGGACTTCTCCAATGCAGCTGCTTGAAGACTTGGGACCACCACCCCACCCCCACCCCCAGGAAAATGTTTGCAGAAGTATCAAATAGCGAATTTAAACAGAAACCAATTCTATTAAAACAGCTACCCAAGTCTTACAGCATTAATTTGTGACCCAGGAACCTTTATTCTCCCTAATTGAGTGCAAACATGTTCCCAGTATCTGCAACATTGTTACTAGGAGACAGGAAACAAAGCCAGAGGTTCCAGAAACTGCAGGGCTTCCTTGCCTACACCCACAATTACAAGTTAACTTTTATCAGTTGGGGTTTCTTGAAACTGAAGTCAAGGTAGGATGCCATGAGAAGAATGTCTCTACTAGGTAACCCAGGAATATTTTTCAAAAGTGAGAATGAACAGACTGGAGGCATGAGTTCAGGAGCCCCTCTCAAGTGAGCCCTTGGGCAACCCTCAGGTCATTCAGCAAGTATTGAGAGCCTACTGTGTACTCAGTACTCAAGGAACTAAACCAGATGGGCAATTTCTCACCTCTGGGAGCAGCTGCTTGTCAAAGGACCCCAAAGAAGGGTACTAGGGATGAGCCCCGCTGCCCTCTTCTCCTCTCCCACCCCCTCCTCTGGGGAGCAGAGAAGCACAGAAGTCCTCATAATCAGAAAATCAGCCTGAGTTCTTTCCATGACCTCAAAATTATGCTCTTTTTGGCAACCAGTGTTCTAGGCTGGTCTGACGTTAATCCTACTAGAGAGAAGAAGGTGCTGGCAGCGGGGTGATGACAGGCACCCACCCCTTCATTAGGAGGGCAAACTGCTCAGAACATGGACAGGATGGACCCCTGGGGCACAGCGGATGACAGTTTTCATGTCTGCCCAGGCAGGGCTCTGGGGCTGGAGACCTCTGCATTCCTGCCGCCTGACCAGCCAGCGGGGCTGACACAGCCCACCCTGCGATCGGGCAGCAGAGCGGGGATGTGGGCAGAGACGAGCAGCGCCAGATGTGCGCACATTAAATTAAATACCTGCTCAGCAACTGCCTCCCCACCGCGCCCGGGGGGATAAAAAGGAGAGAGAGAGAGAGAGACATAATTTCAAAGAAGAAAATGCTGCATATAAACCCCCAAGTAACGAATTAGTCGTTACCTTATGCTCTCCGGGGTCTGAGCCTCGTCCATGACCCAAACCAGATGGTAAACATGAACATTTTTAGAAGTTAATTTAAAACCAATTTGATCCCCAAATTCATTGCCTGGATGTAGAATCCTAATCAATCAGCCAACACTCAACCAAAATCATCTAAGCCTGGTGTCACCTCTGGGGGTTAATTAGAAACTGTTATATGCTGTTCGAGAAATAACTTTATGTAACAGGTTTGAACCAGTAAGAGTTTGGCTCCCGCGCAAGTGTGAATTCTGCTGGCTGGGGCCTTGCTATTATTAACACATGCATCTCCGGACCCCTGCAGAATGACGCCAGAAAGGGTTTTCGTTTTTCATCCCCTTCGAACACTTCGGAGGAGGAGATGCCTGTCCTTGCTCATCTCTCACCTGAAAGGCTCACTAGCTCTCAGTTTGTTTCTGTTATGCAGAAAGCCACTTGCCCTGCCTGAATGACCAACTAGGATCTCAAATGTCCTGCCTGCAGGAGAGGGGCTAGGCAGGGAGCACAGCCCTGGTATTATTTTGATGTAAGGCCTTCTGCTCTGTCAATACACATCAGCGTGACAACAGTCGGAATGTGGGTTAAAATGCCTAAATTAGACTCTGATCAGCCAGACTTCCAATTACCAGCTCTCCAGCTTACCACCCAGCCGGCTCATTTCTTCCCATCACACTTTTGGACCCATTTACTAGCATTTCAAAGTGCTCTGAGGCCTCTGTCCTCGAGTCAAAATCCCCCAAACCAAAAATAATATAATCTTCCATATTATGGAAATCAAGGCAAGTTTAGGTTTATCACAGACACAAATAAGAGCTGAATATGTGACGAACTGAAAAAGAAAACAAATAGTTTCTTAGTTATCCGATAGTTTCTTTCTAGACAAAAAATCCCGAACACCACTTGTCTGGCATAAAACTCACCCACCAGCAATCTACAGAAATCTTTTGTTTTTTGCAAGGAAAAGAAAAAACGGAGCTATTTCCCAGCTGGGCTCTCCAAATGCCCCTCTTTGCCCTTGCCCGTCCTGCCTGCACCCCTGGCCTGAGGTTTCCTTCTCAGATGGCAAAAGCAGGGGACGTCTGCTAGTTCCCACATCAACCTTGCTTGGACAAGCCGTTGTTCCCAGGACGTTTACCTTTCAGAGTGATGCTCTGAACTGAATTCTGGGCAACAGCTCCCTTTCAAAACACAAAACAGAACGAAAACAAACAAAACAAAAAAACCACACCAAGATGTCTCTATCTGGTTCCTTTTTGGCCTCCGTTGAGCTCTTTCTCTCCAAAATGCAGATTGATGTCACCCACACACTTTGGTTTGGCATCTGCTCCCCGTTGACGTGCTTCACGGTAAGCCCAGCTCCATGACTCCGGAAAGCACGGACGACTGTAAATAAGGCCACAGAGAAGGCAAAGCCAATGCGCAGCCTGGGACAATGGGGGCCGAGGCCGTAGCTGGCCTCTGGAGGGCGGCTGGTTTCCCCCATTATAAATAACACTACAGTGAACATCTCTGTGCGCCATCTCTTTCCCACTACCGCCTCAGGACAGACTCTAAGTGCGGGGTGGGGGGGACACATGCAGGAGTATTTTAATGGGACTTTGTCCCTGTCACCACACGTACTCTCCAAGGCAATGAGAGAACGATGCTCACCTTCCCCGGGAGAGGTTCTTGGAGCTAGAAGAGCCTCTCTTCTCCACCCAAGGTGGGGAAGGCACCTCTGTGAGAGCACGGAAGCTCTCAGTATGGAGGGGATGCGGAAGGGACACCAGGTGGCACGTTCTAGCCTGTCCCCACCACTTCCGGGCTGGAGACGTGGCAGGTTGCCAGGCCCACTAAGGCCCAGCATCTTCGGCCCGGACACGTAACACTTGCCTGAGGAGGGCTGAGCCCAACACCTGGAGCTTGGGCTCAGGGGAAGGGGGAGTCACAGTGGGCCAGGAGAAGGGAGATAAACTTGAACGGTCGTATCCCAGGACCAAGCAGGATAGGTGTGGAAAAGGCCCCTTCCAAACCCCAAGGCCTTTCTCCTTCATCCATCCATCCATTCATCCCATCAGCATGGGGCTGCTACGAGCCAGGCCCTGTGCCAGGCCCTGGGGCTGGACGAAGGAGCCACAGGGGCCTCCCGGCTTGGGGAGCCTACCATCCAGCGAGGCAGAGGGGTGGAGAAAGAGGAGGCAGGAAGTGACAGGTCTGTGATCTGCAGAGTTCTCGCTAAGGCCTCACTGAGCCGAGACCCAGACCAGAAGCAGCCCACCAGGCCCCGCGTGGGAGGCCCAGAAGAGGGAGGACTTTCCTGAGATCCAACAAGAGCAAAGTGGCCACCGTGGTGGGAGGCGGGGAGGGACCCACGGGCGGGACCCACGACAGACCCACTCCCGACTGCTCCTGCGGCTCAGACGACCGCTATCCTGTCTGTTTGTCTCCCGCCAGCACCACGCCCGCCCCTGCCCTGCGTGCAGCCTCATCGCAAGCTCTGACGAGCACCACCCACCCGTGCTGCCCCCCCCAGGCGGCCCTGCCCCTGCGCCTGGGGGGCCGGTGGGTCAGCCCCGGGTGTGAGGTGCGCCCCGCTGTGCTGTTCCTCACCAGGCTCTTCACCTTCCACGCGCACAACCGCTCCTGGGAAGGGTATTACCGCCACTTCTCAGACCCCGCCTGCCGCCAGCCCACCTTCACCGTCTATGCCGCGGGCCACTACACCAGGGGCAGGCCCTCCAGCAAGGTCCTCGGTGGCACCGAACTGGTGTTTCAGGTCACGCGGGCCCGAGTGACTCCCATGGACCAGGTCACCACGGCCATGCTCAACTTCTCCGAACCGAGCAGCTGCGGGGGCCCGGGGGCCTGGTCCCTGGGAACCGAGCGGGACGTCACAGCCACCAACGGGTGTCTACCACTGGGCATCAGGCTCCCCCACGTGGAGTACGAGCTTTTCAAGATGGAGCTAGACCCCCTCGGGCAAAGCCTGCTCTTCATCGGACAAAGGCCCACGGACGGATCAAGTCCCGACACCCCGGAGAAGCGCCCCACATCCTACCAAGCACCCCTGGTGCTCTGCGACGGGGTGGCTGAGGCGGTGTCCGGACCCCTGCAGCACAGGCCTCTGCCGAAGCCCTTCAATGGTGGGGGGCCGTGTCCTCCAGCGGCCCCTCTCCCCGTCCTGCCCCTGGCTCTAGGGCTGGCCTTCCTCAAGGGGCTGTGAAATCGGTCTCTGAGCTCTAGACCACCGCTCGGGACACTGGTGCCCCGCGGCCTCTCTCCAGGCACAGACTCCTCTTGCGTCGGCGAGAAGGGCCCCTGCTCTACCCTCCACTCAGCTGCGGATCCTCCCGGTCCACTGCCGTCCGCCAGCCTGGGCCCCACAGTGCTCAGCCCCCGAGTCCCACGGCACCTGCAAGGCCTGCCCTCGGGTGCTGGCCGTGAACCTGGGCATGGCCATGGCCAGGGCTCTGCGGCTCTAAATGCAAACTTCTGGTTTTCCGGGGCGGTTGGAGGACAGCAGCCCCTTCTCCCACCCCGTCCTTGGCGTTTTGTGGGACGGGAGTGAGGCCCTGCACGGGGAGGCCACCGCCGCTCTGCCAAGCCTGTGGATTCTTGTTTTAAAGATTATTAGTTTGAATTTAGCAATACAAACTCAAACCAGGGCTATGCATTAAAGATGCTGCTTCGGGCTTTCGGTGCTTGGCAGCTTTCTGGGAGAACGCCTGTCTCTTCGGGGCGACTCGGCTTTCCTGGGTTTGACTGTGTGTCGCCGAGTCAAGCCCGGAGCTGTCGACACCGCACGCGGCTGAATCCAGCCCTCCCAGGCCAGGATGTGAAGGAAGCCGCCCGTTGGGGCCCACAAGGGCGCCCCCCTCGCCCACACCCGGCTGGCTGCTGGGGGCAGGTCTGTGGGGGAGCGCAGCGCCTGCCGCCTTTGGAAAGTAATTAATACTAACGGCAGCGGTGACACTAAGGTGCTCCGTAATCAGCCTTGTACAGGTGTCCTCTGTTTTCAGGATTCTCTGCACTCAACTGACGAGGAGGCAGAGACCTCCGAATGGGTCTTTGGAACCATCCTAAGGAGAGGTTGGGGACACCAGGCCGCATGGCAACCTCTGGAGGGGGACACAGCCTGCTCGCCCCTGTGCTAAGGTGCCGATGTCTTCCTCTGCTAGGAGGGGGCTGTCATCCAGGTGGGGGACAGGCTGTGCCTCTGCAGGGACCCTGCCCGTGTTCCCGAGGCCTCATCTGCACGCTGCGAAATTGACTGGGATCCTCGTGGGCTCGAGGGTTTTGGGGACTCTGTGCCTAGGACTCGCCCCTCCTTTCTCCCCCGGATCCTTATCTCTGGCTCTTATCACTGATCTTGAACAATTGTCTGTGAGGTTACTGATGCTTTCAGAGGGAAGCCCTGGTCCTCCGTTAGACTGTGTGGGGTTCCATCAGCCCAATGAAATGGCTCTAACTTATCTACCCATTGTTCTTAAAAAGAAGAAAGACCCACCAAGTTAATATTCTCTGTAGGTCTCAGAGAGCTACGTGTGTTCCCAGAGTATTTACCAAAGTACAAGAAGTAATTAGATTATTTACGGTCTCAGACTGCATCGGGTGGGGGGTGTGGTTCCCAGTGGGGCAGAGGGTGGGTGGCGATAATGTGTCCATGGCTCAGCAAGTCTTGTATCTGAGGCTCGAGGCAACCATGACGCCATTTGTCATCAAATTTGAATCTTTTAATAAAATTAAACAGCCTGAAAAATGTTCTTGCTGGTTATTAAAGTCAACCAAGGGGATTACGGTTCTAAAGAAAGGAAGTGAAGTGTCTTCCAGGGAATGTGTGAAAGAGAATAAAACCAGTGGAGGTAAACCCCGGCTCTCTGTTACGCCCCTTTGGTTCAGGTGACTGCCCTGCCCTGTTGCAAATTCTCTGGAAGCTTCCGATGCACTGGGAAGAAAATCCCTGCCCCTGGGTCAGTGCTGTCTGTAAGGTCCAGCCATGCCCCCCCCCCCGCCCTGCCCCGCACAGGCCGCACTGGCCTTCCTTCTGGCTCTGGATTGCAACAAACTGTTTCCCTACCTCGGGGCCTTTGCATGTGTCACTGCTGCTTCTCTTCCCCCAGATGCTCAGAAGCTTGACCTTTTCAAGTCTGAGACCAGATGTCACCAGCTTAGGGAGGTCAGCCATCAGTACCCCGAAACGGCAGCCTCCCTTCCCCTTCTGTCCTTCTGTCTATCCACCCATCCCATCATGCAGACCCTTCTTTCTAACGCTTACTGCTCACCGTCGGAGTTGACCTCATCGGTTCTTGCTCATTCTCTGCCTCCTCTACCACACCCGTAAGCTCCGTGCAACAGGGAAGGACCAAGTCAGTCTCTGCCATCTTCTCCAGCAGAGCTTGCACATGCTCAGAACCACAGTCGAGGAAACAAATGTTTACGGTCCCATTTAATCCTCACACCAAGACCCACGACAAGACTACAAGCACATGGCCGGCATAGTACCCCTCCGGGCGCAGCAGGGCAGGTGGGTGGGGCACCCTAGAAGGTGAGGGGTGTGTCTCTGCTCTTGGGGATGCTAAAGGCTCGCAGAGGAAAATGGGCTTTGCCCAAGGTCGCCAGCAGCCCGGCCGCAGATCCCGAGGGCTGTGCATCTGTCCTGGGGTGTCCTTTCAGGGTTCCAGGTCCCTTCATAGGGGTAGGACTCCTTGACTGTATTTGGGGAAAGGAAGTCAGAGCTGCTTCGTGGGGCAAAGCATGAGTCATTTCAAATTCAAGTCTCCCTGACAGGACCGAGGTGCCCTCCCTCCCAGGGCCTCTTGGTTCTGGAGCAGTGGACGCCAGCAGAAAGAATCACGGCTGGACAAAGGACAACAATCCCTTTCCCCCTGGGCTGAAACCAGAGGTGTCATCTGAGGACCCAGGGGGCCGAGGGGGCTGGGGGAGAAGCCCGCAGACACCAGCCTTCTGGCCCCTTTCTTGGCTCCTTGGAGAACCCTCCACATAAAACCCAAGATAGCTTTAATCAACAGAGGGGAAAGTAAAACCCATACTTCTAGTTCAAAACAAAACAAAACAAAATTAATGTTCTCCATTCCGTGTTCAGTCACGTTTAAAAGGGAAGGGAAAAAAACCCGTGCAGTTTATAATTTCATAGTGCAAGCTCCCAGGAGAGTAAATGAGGCTTTCTTTTCTTTTTTTTTTTTTTAATAAAAAGTTTAAATTGTATACAGCTCTCAGAGGCCCATTAACTAACAGATGCTGGTTATCAAAAGAAGCTATTTCTTTGCTTTTTCTAAGTGAATGTGTTTAATCTCCCCATGGTGCTCCCGGCCTGAGAAAGAGCAGCTTGCGGTGACGCGGGCTCTGCCGCACTCAGGCCGGTCTCATGGGGCCTTGGTGACTCAGGCGTTAGGGAAGCTGGAGAGGACCGGGGCGGTGGGGGGAGCGGCAGCTCCTGATGCAAAGGAGAGGGGACGTGCATCAGGGCCATCAGCGGGGCCCCAGGAGGGCTTGGGGGGCTGTTTCCGCTCCCCGGGGGTGAGCTTGGCCTGAGCGCCTGGAAGCCGATCCCCCTCACACAGACCCCACTAGCCGGGTGTGAGGACCGAGGGCTAACCCAGGCCCCCACGCGTCGGGGTCTTCTCTTCACCGCCCCCCGCCTGGAATGCTTCAGCACCGTAATCTCACCAGTCATCATGAAGGGCCCTTGTGCTTCATTTCCTCACTGTCGGCCTCTCTCCTCTAGGTGTCCCTTGACGGCTCGCCCTTGTCCATTTTGTCGCCCACCACGCCCCCAGCACGTGGACGGCACCTGACATAGCGGGAGCTCAGGAAACACGGCTGGGTGGGTAAACCCTCTGAAGGCTGACTGGAGGCTATGAACTCAAGCAGCCAGAGGACAGCCACATACTCTGTCGAAATCTGGCTTGGAATTTTTGACATTGATTATCATTATTATTATTTTAATAAGATTGGCAGAGCAGAGCCCAGAGCTGTGACCTTGAGCACATCTGTTTTCTCCTACCCAGGCTCTTCCTAGGAAGGGCACTGGGGCCAGCTGCTGTCCCAGAATAGGGGCTGCACAGCCTGACATCGGCAGGACCCTGACAGCCCCCTCAGGTTTCACATGTGTAAAGGTCATGGAAACGGGGAGACCCTCAGCCTCGTGCAGGGACCTAAGACTTTCCGACCTTAGCTACGGAGCGCCCGGCTGCAGTTTCCTCACCAGGAAAACAAACTCGAACACCTGGAAGGTCCACGCCTGGCAGGAGGTTCACGAAGCAGCAACGTCGTGTTGTAAGAGGAACAGCTTGAAACAAAACTCTCTGTGAGGATGGGTCTTCTCCCAGCGATGCTGTATTTACTTCCTAAGGGTTATTAATTAATAATCTGCTACTCTCACTCCTATATTTGGTATTTTTTAATCCCGCAGGAGAAAAATATTTAACAGAAAACTTATTTTTCTTGGTCATTAGCGCTGTTAACATCAATAGTCAGTTTATTAAGGACTCCACGTAGGTACTGAGTACCCGGCACAGGCCAGGGGGAGCACATGCTTTCACATCTACTTCTTTCTGAATCCCCCAGCAAATTCTGGGAATAGAGGCACAAGGTCACACAGATACACAGGAAAGGAGAAGAGTCAAGAAGAGATGGTAGCAAACTTCCAGAGTCTGGACGGCTGATGGGCAACAAGTTGAGAGGTGACAGAGAGCGGAGAGAAAGGTGCTACCTGGCCAGTTTCGGGGCAGGGGTCAGAAGCAAGTCCACTCATGCCCCCAAAGGCTTAGGAAGCAGTGGTCTAAGGAAGCCTGGGGGTGGGAGAGCATTGGGGCTGAAAACAGGACTATCTGAAAGTCTACAAAGGAGTTCTATCCCCAGATCCTCTTCCTAACCCCTGTATGAAACCAGAAGGGCAAACAGGAGATGTCTGGACTTGGGAGACCATCCAGAGCAAGGTGTCACACTAAAAATAGAGATAGCAAAGAAAATTCTACCCATTAAACGGCTGGGTTGCACAGCCTCCTTCTCCTTGAGAAATAGCGGCCAGGCTTCTGTTGCCGGGCAGGAGACAGGAAGATTCCCAAGAAACGAGCCCATACTGAACCAACTGCAGATACTGACAGCTGGAAGTTCCCCCGAGGAGGCACCTGAGCGGTCCCCAGCCCCTTCGCTTGCACAGAGACCCAAAACCCAGTAAATCCCACCTACACAAACATAGCT